GAAAGGAAAGCTGAAGCAGCGGCACGTTTAGAGAAGGCAATTGAAAAGGAATTGATAAGTCGTTTAAAAAGTAAAGCTTATGGTGATACACCACTGAATGTTAATGAAGAAGTTTGGAGATCTATATTGGAGGGTGACAAATTGGAAGCTGAAGATGATATAACCGACGAGAGTGAGGTGGAAGACTTGGAGGTTTGGATTATTTATATAAATCATTAAATTTTCTCTACGGAATAATTAGAGTAAAATAAATAAATAAATAAAAACAGGCACGCGAATTTGTTGAAGAAGACAGTGAGATTGAACTAGAAGATTTAGAAGAAATTATCGAGGAGGAAGAAAATAGAGGCAATAAACAAGAGGTAATTTTATGACCGTCTTGTATTAAACAATATTTGGCATGATCTGAAGATTTGGATAATCTTAACCAGGAAATTGAATCAAGCGATTATGATTCAAAAGAATATGAAGTCGAAGATGAAATCGAGGAACATGCACTTAAAGTAAGCAATTATTGACTTTATTTAATTTCATCAATTGTTTCTAATTGCACATTCTGCTTATAGAGAAAAGACGCTGAGGCTGAGAAATCGCGACCAATAAAGAAAAAACGTAAGTAACTTTTTTTGAATCAATACAAGAATTTGATTCTAATGGTTAAATGAATATTTATCTATACATTTCTATTATTAGGTACATATGTTGAAGTTGAATATGAGCATGAAACATCATCAAAGATACCTTCTCGATAAATTATTAGTTGCCTAATTTATATTAAAAATATGTAATTTTCTGGAATTTGAAATTGGTTATGCACATCTTTTGGGATATTCTTGGGATATTAGAAGACTAGCATTGAAGAATAAGAATATTACTTAGTTTAATTAAAAAAACAATAGACCAAATAATATGGATTCTTTTTTTTTTTTTCAGTTTATTTTTCTTGTACTAGTCATCGATAACCATCGGGTCATATCTACTACTGCCAGCCGCCTGTCCACTCACTTCTCTATTCAATTTCCAACCCCAAACAGTTGCATCATCACA